CATTTATTAAGACACACAAATTATAATGGGTAAATTAAAAATATATTATCTGAAATTTGCTTAAAATATGAGTTGTCTCATGTGATTCTAAAAATTATACCTCGCCCTTAAAGTTTTTTTAATTTCATAACAAATAGACCATTTTTCTAATAAATCATCAAGTCAATTTATAGTTTGTAATGATGTCAACAATTTATTTCAATTAATAACTCAAGTAATTTTATTATTGTGTAGAAGAGTAGTTAATAATTTTATTTTTTCAGTTAATTCTATTAAATAAAAAATCCTAACAAGGGAATATTTGTAATTTTCTAAATGAAAGAGGACAATCCGTATTTTAAACAAAATTTCAGGAGTGTATTTGTAATTTACCCAATTATGATGTATATGTTGAGTATAAAGGGTAGTTTTGGAAAGTGGGTATTAGTGCGATTTGAAGATAAAATTATGAGAAATTCTTCTTACACTACGAAATCAGCTTATTACACCCTTAACTTTTTACTTTTTTTTTATTACATTTTTATCCTTAATTAAAAATATAAAAATCCCTCAAATCTAAAAAGATGAAATTTTAATTTTTTCTCCTACCTACCTCCTTTATCTCCACCAGAGCACCATCCACCATCGCCCGCCGCCACCCCAACATTCTTTCTTCTCTCCGGCGATGCCCTAGTTATCTCTCATCTCGTTTTTCTTCCTGTCCTCTTTATTCTTCTTCATTCACTTTCTTAAAACCCCATATCTAAAAGTAAAAATCACAGATAGCGATGGAGATGGGTTGTGATGACAGTGGGTCACAGGATAGAAATTGCGACAATGGTGATCGTGATGTCGAAGTGGGTAGTTGGCGATCACGATGGCTAAGGTCGTGATGGTGGCAACTCGCATAGGTAGGAACTATGATGGCGGCAGGTCATCGATCGTAGAGGGCTGCGATGGCGGTGGATTAGCAATCTTAGGGGACTGCGATAGTGGTGGATTGACTGTAGTGGATGGTAGTGAGTCGGCTGTCGTTGGAGTTTGCAGTAGCGGTGGTTTGTGCAATAATAAGGGTTTGCGAAGGCAAATGGATAGGGTGCTGCTGGGTGGATCATAGATGGATAGGACGTAAGGAAGGACTGGTTGAAGGTAGAGGAAGGTGGTGGTAATGCGGTTGTAAGATTTGTTGGACAATCTTCACTGTATTTAAATAAATTAATTCTGTTTTTGTACTAAACGACATACATAATACAAAAGAAAAAAAAGGAAAGAAGAGAGATTTTTTGATTACAAAAATCAAACTAGAAATAAAAATAAATAAATAAAAACAGATTTTATTTTGTTACAAAAACAAAATTAAAATATGATTTAAATAAACAAATAAAATAGAAAATAAATTAAACAACTTACCTGATTAATTTCTTGAATAATATTCTGATCAACTCTAATGTTTGACACTGTGTCCTTAAGACAGATTCGTCCTCTCCACGGTGCTTTTAGAATATAGACTTCTATCTCCCAAGATAAAATGATCTATCAACGAATAAATGCAGCACTACAATTTATTCGTACAACGAACACACTAAGTGTATATACTCTTTCTCAGAGAAAATTAATGCAGCAATACAAAAATGCAGAGAAGGCAGACAATATTTAGGACGAAAATTCTAAATGAGAACATCAAATGAGGGCTAGTCTATTTATAAATGGATTGGTGGCTGTTCATTTTGAATTAAACAGGTATGATACCTATTCAGTTTGAATAAACAGATACAAATCTGTTGGGTTCAAATTTTGAACAGATAAAACCCATAGGGACCTGTTTGGATGGTAGGGACCTGTTTGGATATAGGGAAAAACCGGAACAGATTATTTCTGGAACTAATTTGAATTCTGGACAGTTGGACAGATTTTATTTCAAAAATGAAATTAATTCCAAATGTTTTTGGCCCAAAAAGATTAGTATTGGGCCGGACAAGCCCAACCCAACCTCACACCATGCATTTGTGCCCAAGCCCAGCCCGCCCGACCGGACGGACGGCGGCAGCCGCTCGCGTGGTTATTTTTGGGTCAAATAGGTCTAGCTCAATTAGTCCATAACCTCTCCCTTCTACAAACTCGGGTTGCCCCTTGGGACCTACCCATAAATTTCTTCCCACCAAACCAATGTGGGACAAGCCTATATTCAAACCTTTAAGGATTTTCCGCCAAAACTCTATTTCCATGGAGCACACTTTGGCTTCAATTTCCCATTCACCCGATAATGGTTTTGAGCAACCAAATATACCACGTAAATCACAACGTGGCGTAGAACGCGTTACCACTTTGACCCACGAAAATCAACGCATGGGTCCCACCTAAAACTTAGACTAAAGTTGATGAAAAATTATGTTTTTACCCAGATTTTTTCCAATCATTTCTAACAAGATTAGTGTTTGAATGAGTTGAAGGCGTAAGGAGAAAAAATTGGTAGGGATGAGGAGTGGTTTGAAATTATGAAAAGTATAAAGTGATAAAAAAAATTTTTAAAAAATTAATTTTTTTAAAAAGTGTAATGAGAAAGAAAGTGTAACGAGATAAATTAATGATGTAAGTAGAATTACCCTAAAATTATAAACTAAATTGTGAAGGCTAGATTGACAAATAACTAAATTGTGGTTTGGACAGTTACAATTTGTTAGTTGATTAAAGAATAATATTAAACAATTGTTAACCATTTGCATAATATATAACTTTAAATAATATTATATACACACACACACATATATATATATATATATATGATATTAATTTGTAATAAATTTTACATATATATATATATATATATATGTAAGTATAACTATCACATAGTGAGATGATTTAGAAGACAGATTATAAACAAACTAACTTTTGTGGTTAACGGATTAAATGGTATTTTGCACCGTCCTTTTATGTAATATTCAAATATTAAGGTTTAAATTGTTATTATTTTTTTATTATACTTTGTACCCTTAAACTATCATCAAATTGTCTACTTAATCCCTGAACAATCAATTGTGTCTATTAGGTCCCTAAAGTATATAAATCAAAATCTATTTAGTCCCTAAACTATCGATTGAATCTATTAAGTTCCTAAAGTATTTAATTAAAACTTATTTAGTCCCTAAAAGGATTATAAAAATAAACTATAAGCCCATAAATATTATAAATTAGAAAAACACCCTATTTAGTTAAAATTTTATTTCAAAAAAAAATCTTAAATTTTTATTCTGTCTTTGAAAAGTGGGTGCCAATTCATATATTGAATTTTCTTTATAAGAATAAGGATAATTATTTACAGTATTTTTTTACTTATCTTCTACAATAGATTCGGGCTTGCCTTAATATTTAGTATTATATGTCAGATTTCGTTTATAATTTCTAATTGATTGCTTTTAAGTTTTTCGCTAAATTCTGTTTATTACTTAATTACTTTATTATTTTGTTCTATTACTATTTGTACAAAAGTGTTATTATTTAAACTATTCAATTCTACTTCTTTAGTAAATCTAATATTCATATAATCTGTTGGTAAGACTGAAAAATTAGACTCTAATTTAATATTAATTTAAACACAAAATGAAATAAAATATCTTTTAAAGACAAAATAAAAATTTAAAAGATTATAAACAAACTAATTTTTTTGGTTAACGGATTGAATGGTATTCTGAACCGTCCTTCTATGTAATATTCAAATATTAAGGTTTAATTTGTTTTTTTGTTTTTTTGTTTTTTTTAAAACTAAGGTTAAATTTGTTGTAGGAGTTAAACCATAGCCTAGGGTTGTCATTTCGCCAAACAAGCTTTTCTCAATTTGGGGCTCAATTTGGGGCAATTCTATTTGCACATGCCAAATTATCTCTGTGTACATCTTTTCTTAATCCACACATGTAGTAATTTGATTTTTATTTCTTTGTCTCAGTTCACACACTTCACATTCCAAATATATACTCACCTTCTCTGTGCACATCCTCTCCTTCCATCCTTTCTCCCTCCAAAAATCTTAACCCTAGCTACACCAGTTACTCACGACGACGATAGCGACGACATCAACCACTGCCCCTTCCCAGCCTCTCAGCCATTCTCACACAAGGTTCAGGTGTGATTAAGCTCGTTGATTATTCGATTTTGTCTCATAGATACATATATATATATATATATATTTGGATTTGGATATAGTGTCTTAGGATTTGAGAGTTAAGTCAAGAAGACAAACAGCAACCATGTCACTTAGGCCTAGTGCGAGAACCAAGGTTCGCCGAAGATGTGTATGGAGAAATTGATCTTGAGGCGCAAAAGACTAGTATTACAATGGAATCTTTTATTTTTATTGTTTCTGAGGTTAATTTCTTTGGCCTTAACATAGAAGTCTTCTTTCTTATGACTGCTACAAGTTATTCTTTGTAGGCTATTCTGGATAATTGCATTATGCGCTGTTTAAACTTGATGATCTCTTTCATCTTGCAAAGAACATGATGCAACCACGGATTATAGATTTTGGAGAATTAATATTCAGGGAGGAAATAGATTTGAAAATTGGATTTTGATCGTCTCTATTTCTTGCCCTTTCTTGTTTGCTAAATATGGGATTCAATCAAGAAAAATAAAAAAAATAAAAAAAAATTGACAATTACATGTTGAAAATGTATCACCTTTTAGTAAATCTGACTAAATAAATTATGTATGCATACAAGCATGATTCAATTTTATTTTTCGGGTGACCAAATATCTTTTTTTTTTTTTGTGATTGAATCCTTCTTAATTTGTATTTTTGACATTTTAATAAATTTTTTAATATTTTTATCAATTTTGTTAATATTTTAAATCTATTTAATCTAAATGTAATTAGAAAGTACAAATTTTACAAAAAAAAAAAAAAATTCAAACTCTGTATTTGAGATGGTGGTGGGTGAGATACGTATGAAAAAATTATGAGATATGCGGATGAGATAATAATGGGTGAGATGATAATTTTGTTAGAGGATAAAATCGTAACATAAAAAAATTCATTAAATATGTGGGGGTAAGGAAACGCCTAAAACTTGGTACGTTGAAATAAAATTTCCCCTCAATTTTCCTTTTATTAGAAGAACAAAATTTTGGGGCAACAAAATTGATGGTGGTGGTGATGATGATGATGGAGGAGGAAGAACGCCTGAAACGCCTAAAACGCCATGAGTTGATCGAGGAGGAACGCAAGAAGTTGTTGATCGAGGAGGTATTTTTGAGGCTTCCACCGCCGTCGGTGGCTCGATTCAAATCCATTTCCAAGTGGTGGCGACGATATCTGTCCGAACCACCGTTCGTGGATAGATATGAGGCTAGAAATCTCTCGGTTTTAGGGTTTTTCTACCAGACAAACTACAACAAGTTCGTTTTCAGAGCGATCCCATCCAATCCCAGTCCCAATCCCAATGATAAGAGTTCGCGTTCGATTTCGATTTCCACAGGCAATCGCCTGCGAACCGGTTTTGAGGCCCATATTGGAGCATCAGATAACACCCTGCTAGTCATTAACTCTTCCAATGGACTACTCCTCCTCTACTCTTCAATGCCTGTTCCTTGCTATGAGGTTTATAATCCTACTACCGGTGATAAAGTCTCTGTCCGATTCTCTTACAATTACGAAACCTTTGCCACACGGTATATGGTATTTGGATTTGCTTTTGATCCTTATTCTACCCATCCCTGCTTCACTATCGTCGACATTGCAGATACTGGAGCTCGTAAGTTTCGGGTTTTTTCTTATTATTCACTTCGCTCATATTGGAGGACAACCTATCACAGGGTCCCCTCCTATGTCAGAGACGACTATGCACTATCTGGTCGGTCCACCTTCTGTAGAGGGGCTTTGCATTGGTTGTTGGAACCTTCGGGTGTCGTCTCCTTTGATGTTCGCGCCAATACCATTTCATTCTCCTTGATTGACATACCGGCCGATGAGAAATACTTAGATGACGATGGGTTGTGCATATGTGTTAAGATGATGAGGGATGCTGGGTTATATTCCAACGGTTATTGTAGTTGCCGTTATTTGGGGGTATCCAGAGACGACCTAATATACATTCGAGTTACGGGTCATTCTCAGTTGTCACTCTGGGCTCTCAACTGCGGTACATGGTCTCATACCAGTGTCATTAATGTTGGGAATTTACCGGAATCTCTCTTCTTGGGTTGCGTTTTAGAGTTCCACAAAATGGAGACCCCTATCCTATACCTGAGGTTGAAAAGGAGGATTTTTTCATATAGCCTCATTGATGGTGTGCTTCAAGAGCTTTTTAGAATCACTAAAGAATATGGAGGAGGAGAGAATTGCCTTGGCTTTATCATTCCCTATCAACTGCCGAGAATTTCCTTGTCCATTCCCAGTTTTACTCCCCAAGGTAACCTCAAACTCTGCAGTCTACGTGTGTGTATGTATATGTTCTCCCCATATAGTATAACCCTGTTTCCTTGAGATAGTTTTTAGGTAACTCAAATTGTGATGGCATATGTTATGTTATAGTGGTGTATCTAAGATGAATATATTGTTCTTTCTGACAGATTTACCCTCGAATGACGTACTTTTTGCTTCCCTGTTCAATGCTGTGAAGCAGTTGCAAGCGGATCCTTTAGGTAAAACAAGGCTGCACATGCACAGGATTATGGTTCTTATAAATTATAATTATTTGATAATTTAATTGAAATTATTTTAAGTGTATAAAATAATATTGAAAACAAAATTTCACTGATTATTATTCAAAAGAAATTTTCTTACTTGATAATAGTTCAACCAGTGTACTTCTTATATAATTCGACACCTTGTGGAATGGCGTCTCTAGTGTTTGAATTGACATAAAGTTAGGTATCTTTTCTTTTGAGTTTTTTCTACTTGGGATTGTCAGTTTTTTGTAGAAGGTTGTTTTCGGCATGGCCTTCAGGTTGCTTCAACGGATGATTTGTTTATTATGTCGTTTTCAACATGGTTGTCATTCTTTTTTATTTCTTCCATATTTAGATGGGCAATTGGTATTATCAAATATTAGTAATGAGCTAATTTCTTTTCTCTCCCAATCATTCCCCTTTTGGAGAGATTCAAAAAATGGGTTTTCAGAGAAATCTTTTTCTCTTCATTTCTTCCCAATTTATAAAGAAAAGTGGGTTTTGCCCTAAAGATTTCAAATGTTGATTTTGTAATGATAAATGGAATTGATGCTAGAAATGTGGAACTAGATTGATGTTAATGAGGATGATGGAGTTGGATACGTATTATCACTCCCATCTTGAAATTTTTGAAAAGTTTATCTTTATGGAAATTATTTATCTGTTTAGAGATATCTGTTTTGAGTTATCGGTGGAGGATAGCTATGATTGTTGTAGAAATTACACGAGAATTAGGAGAATTGAAACTATTTTCTCATCCATTGCATTGAGCATTGTTGCATATTTAACACAATTGAAAATGTTGTTGTGCTGAGAAAAAATGGGTGAATAGCTTGATGAATCAGGGTAAGAGTGTAGTGTGGTATTATGTTGGCTTGAATGTCCTTGGTGAAAGTCCAGAAGCTACGCGGTTAGGTGTCGAGCCTTCCGATTAATACTAGTAAAAATGACAATTTTGTAGTGCTTGTAGCCTACTTGCAGACACGTCCTAGGGATTCATAGTGTTGTATTCATTGCCCTGTTTTCTATTGTAAAGGAAATGATTTCATGAATTGTGTTGTAAACTTGGCATTACATAGTTTTGGAAAGAGATATAAATTTTTTTCAGCACGAGCATTGCATATACATTCACCTTATATCTTTGTTAAGATCATAAACTGTGTTAGAGTATTTCTACTGGCCTCTAGCGCACCCTATGTGGAAAACCATTTTCAGGTGCTGATGATATGCCTCCGCCAAGGTAATAGCTTGGGACGACTTGGAACAAGAGCTTCATTGTGTTTACTTGCTATAATTTTTTTTTACAAGCCTAGGGCTTTATCTATATTGAGTTTAAAACTCACTTTTGTTGTAACCAAGCATCGTCTTGGAAAGTTATAGCCGGAGCTTTGCGGGAATCCGTGGACATTCTCAGGGTTGAGAATCAAGTCAAGGCCCATGTTACTGAGACAAGGCCGTCTTTTCTGAAAAGAGAGTTCTTCTGGTCGAATTCAGATGAGTTTTTGGGGATCTAAAGGAGGCACTAAAGGCAGATGAGTGGTTGGATCATATGGTGAAGAGGTTTGAGATGCTTGGCATCGAGGACAATGGGCTGAGAGTGATCGTGGCATCCTTCAGTTGAAGGGAGATGTAGGTCAGTGGTGGATATTTTTGCTGGGGTATAGCTTGCTTTTCATGCTCTTCGGAGGGGTTTAGTCTCCTTGGATACGATAGCCCTACAGTTCGAACTCCCGTGATTCTGAATCTGATTTCATAAGTACAATGTGAAACAGTGAAAACAGAAAGAGTCCAAATCCGACAATTCTTTCGGAAAATCTATTTTTAATAAAAAAATGCCAAAAATGGACCACATTGCCAGATTTCAGAGTCGTCACCTAAATATTTTTGAAAATTTTAGGAAACTCATGACTCGTGCCAAAGGCCATTTATCCGTCATCACCAAAGTGTCTCAGCTCGAGAATTTAGGTATGAGAGGGAAAGGTCATGAATTGAGCACCACACTCACCCGATCAAGGATCGGCCTCTACTAATCATGATGTGATTTTTATATACATTATATGCTCTTGTTCCGATTCTTAGGCTATCTTTACTATGTGATGCACACAAGTATAGACTAATTTGTAAAAGTTAGAATACTTTGATCTTATGTTTGTTTGAAAAGAGTTTTTGAATATGTACCACTTGAAATAGTGATCTCACATGTATTAGTCAAAACATCCCAATTTAAGCAATTAGCCTTCATCCACCGGCATTCAAACAGGTATATCACTTAAGTACTTAGCCTCATAGAAAACATGCTCGATATGGCAACACTAACACTCATGCAATATGCTAAAGTAAAGAATGCTCACCTAATACTCAACCGAGGTAGCCAAAAGAAATAGAATAGTTAGTTAAATGCATGCTCTAATATGCAAGTGACTAATGCAACACATACAAAAATGCAACTATCGGATTCGGCTTCCTAACATGGCATGTGAGTCAATTCAAGGCATGCGTAAAGCATGTATTCGAATAATGAATTTGAAATTGACATTGGTTAGTATGATGAACCGAAACCTTATGTATACAAGACAAATGGATGCAAGTCATGGAAAATGCTTAATTAAAACATGATGCTATATGCTATCCATCATAAGTGAGTAAATAAAAGGGAGAAACAAATGGGCTGGAAGATATACACACATTATTACATATTTGCCCTCACGCAGGAGGGTTCGAATAAATGTTTGAATCTAAGCTAATTATTACAACACCAATAAATGAATTAGCTAAACTAACTAACTATTACAAATTAGAATTAAACTAACTAATTAGTTACAACACGAAATTAATTAACTGAGTAATTAACCATTACAAGTTCGAAAGGAATTAACCAATTAATTAACTAAGTAAGCTAATTTAAAAAAAAAAAAACGAGCGGGGGTCAAGGAACCACACGTGTCAATGCAAACATCCTCTCGAAAATACCTCTGTTTTGCTGTCATAACTGTTATGTCTGCAAAAAATACTTCTGTTTTTGCCTCAGCTTCTACTCTGTTTTGCAAGAAAACGACATTACCTGGCTGAAAATAAGTGGCCGGTCGGCCAGTAAAAGTGGTCGGCCGAATTCAAATGGTGGTCGGTGTTACGACCCAAACCCGCCCTTAAGGGTTTAGCAACGTAACCGGCCAGTAATCCGTGATTACCGAAGGCCTAAGAGACAGTAAAACAGTATTATAGTATAAGAGGGGCTGGCGGAAGCCAAACAGTAATAACGAGGTGTCCAATGAACTGTGAAAACCTGAATGGGAAAAAGCTGTTATGGACTAATCCACATTCGTAACCATATATATATATACATATCAGATACACATAGTATGCAGGTTAGGGATCCAATCCCTTCACCATAACTATACAATCAAAACTTAAACATTCGATACATAACAGAGACAAAAGGGTGAATCTGAAACACCCCAAAAACAGCCTTGGCTTAAGCAGACACGGAACCTCAAAACGAGGCACAATGGTTGGCTGGACAAAACATGAGCTTAACTTGACACTTCTAGCTTTGGTCCGATGCCTGACCACCTACATACATATAATAAACTATGAGCTAAAGCCCAGTGAATAACATATGTGTAAAGGGGTTAAGAATGAATGTCCTTTCAGTAATTAAAACAGTTAATTGCATCAATAGATCATTTATTGAATCAGTGTCTCATATCTCATGTCATATCAGTCATTTAGAGATCATAGCAGTCACACGTGGTACATCCAATAGCAGAACAGTACAGTAGGTCTTAATAGACCGAACAGTAAGTTGATGGCCATCGAAACGGTAAACAGTATTGGTTCCAAACGTTGGAACTAACAGAGATCTCTGTAACAGTAGCAGTAATAGTAACAGTAACAGTAAATTGCTATGGATGCCACGAGTATAGTTCATAAAATAGGACAAACATTCATTCAGTAAACAATGTCACTTTAGAAAGCAGTACAGTCGATCGTTCGGAAAATAATTATAATTGATCATATCTTTACAACATTGTTACTCACAGATTACTGGGCTATAGGCAGGCTAACTAGCGTCCTCGGGTGCCAACCCTACATAGTTGCAGAATGAACACACACTAAATTACACACTCGGGATTAATAACTTAGCCCCTAACTTGACTTTGTGTGGTTCTATAACATTATCCTCATTATTATGCCTTAAACATGGACTAGGAATGCCTAGGATGGAATGAGGATGCAAAAATGTACTTAACAACATTTTTCAAAACTTGTTGAAAACAAAGGTCTCGTTCGAGTGGGGCTTTCTCCGCTCGAGTGAGCTTACCGAATGAGAGAGGTCACTCGAGCGTAGACTCCCTCGCTTGAGCGATCTACAAAAGTGTGAAAAGTACTGGTTGCTGAAATTCTCCGCTCGATGCTCGCTCGAGCGTGAGACACAATTCCTCGCTCGAGCGTAGGCCTTGTCGCTCGAGCGTACGTTTGCGTACGCAAAAACCTGAGAGCTTGCAGTTTACGCTCGAGCCAGCATTCCGTCGCTCGAGCGAGAGTCTAACAACAAAGGTGGTCGCTCGAGCGTGGAATCTTTCGCTCAAGCGAGGAAGCCAAATTCTGGATTTTCCAGATCTGCTTCCAAAGCTCAAACCATGAATCTAACAAGTCAAAACTCAATCTTTTGGGCCAATTTTCTAGAAAATACTTGGAAACTCATAATATCACATTTCATAAAATCAAGGCTGCAAAGTATGCCAATTGATCACAAATTTCCATTAAAACTTTATGAACATTACAAGAACATTACATGCATGAGTTCTCATGAATTCCAAAACTCCAAAGCATGATCAAATGCAAGATTGAACTAAAAAACATGGTGAATTTCTAGAGTACAACCATAATATGGACATGCATGTGGAAATTCTCATGAAAATGATCTCCAAATTCAATGATATGGACATGCATGAATAAATTTTTTCTCAATTCATCTCTCTAGGCTATTTCTTGACTCTAATCTCCAATTTTTCCATGAACCATGCATGAAACAACTTAATTCAAGGCTAGATACTTGGTTTCCTTACCTTAGATGTTCAATTGGGCTTAGGACAATAAAATCTTGAGCTAGATGAACTAATCCCTAAAACCCCTTCAATTTCCTCCCAAAATCAAGCAATACACTTGTTGAATTCAATTTTTCCCCTACTATCCTCTCTCCCACGGTTTGCAATGAAATGGATGAAGAATGAGTATTAAACATGTGAATTAAGCCCAAGACAATGGTTTTGAAGGTGGCCCACTCAATGGCAAAAATTTAGATAACCTATATTCAATTAATTTAGCATTATCTATCCAAATTTAATCATTCCAAATTGAATTTTAATTAAACTTACCATAAAATCATATAAATCCTAATTTGCATATAACACTAATCAATTTCTGAATCGGTCACCGATAAGGCTTTCAATTCGCAATTCGAAATTAAAACATGAACAGATCATTCAGTAACAAACAGATAGAAATACAATTAAAATAACACACTCATGTAATCAATTACGGATTTCCTCTTAATCAATTACTTATCATGCTTAATCATAAATTAACGCTAATCAGAGGTGAGGGTTGTCACAGCCGGCTAGCCACTAATTTTGATACTGCCCTGCTGCATCAGAAAAGAAATAAAGCAGAAACAGAGTGTTTCCAAGGGATGTTTATCCTCTCTACCTCTCCCTATCATGAAACAGATTAAGAAATTGGTAGAATCGCTTAACAAATCATCAAAGGTCACAAGGTTGTTGCATGATGATCGATGACTCGATTGGACAAAGGCTTAATAAGTGAAAATAAGAGACTAACAAAACCTCCTTCCTATCATGAAATTTATCAAGGGAAGTATGCCAATTGATTCTTGAACCATTATCATCACTAACAAGTATGGAATGGCTCAAGACTCAATAGATTCAACTAACGTCCGATTGAACCCAATTTAATTTTATTATCTTGTTCTATTTTAGTCCAATTTTATTGCCTTTTTTACTTACCTTTCCATTCATTAGTCATTTTAGTCCAAGAATGAGAATTAAGTCCACTAAATGGAGAGAAGTGTCAAACAAGAAGTTGTTTTGGGCATGAGAGAGATGTCATGCCTTGATAATGAACCTCTAAAAAGATTAAACTATTAATTATGGAAGGGTCTCGTTCTCAAGCTTAAACAATACTTGTTTGAAACAACTCTCAAACAAATAAAAAGCCAAGAAATGAAGGAGAGTGCAGAGCTGATTATATGTGAGCATAAGTACAAAAAGCATGAAATAAATGCTATCAACTCAAATAGGTTGGTAACTAAGACCTAAACCACCAAACCTATGAGGACAATTACACTACAAGCATACTATACAAAGCATACATGAAATAAACACAACAAAACAGTCCTAAAACAAACAAAAACAATGCTAGAATTATCATAGGAAAGCTAGAAAAAGTAAGCTAAAGCAATGAAGAAATTAAGCTAGTAAATTAGCTTAAGGAGGGGTGGCTAACACCCCTCCACTTTTGGACTTCAAAATCACATTTTTAGCCTATGAAAAACAGTAAGAAAAAGTTGGAAAATAGATGGGAAACACAATGACAAAAGCT